CCGAAGAAGGCTGCCAGCCTTTCTGCTCTATTTTTTCCTGAAAGATCTTTGCGGAAAGAGGACAAGGGCTGAGAGAGCACTTGGGACTCCTACACAGGAGAGCTGTGTAAATAAAGCCTTTCATGCAAGTGATGGGCCTCAGTGCTACTGAAACTATTCCGTTTTCCAGGTAATTACGTGATTCTAGTTATGGTTTTGGGGGGTGGGATCTTGTTTTGCTGTTTTTTGGAGTAGAAGTTGAGATCTGTTCAGAAGACATGGTCGAACTTTTTATAAGTCACTGATGATTACCATCTTTGCCTGTAAATGAGTCTCTTTTTCTTACAGCAAGTAGAGATCCTCATCTCCAGTTGTTTGTTAGAACAGGTGAAGTTTTTTTTTAACAAGTTGACGTTGCTTTGCTCTGTAAAGGAAGGGGTTTGTACTGAAATAGTTACTGAATTAAGCAGTGTTTCCCACATATCTTGGTGTGTGTTTGATCTGTTTTCAGTAGTTTTTCATTTTTTTTGGTGCGGCGCTGATAATAAACTGGGAAATCAAAGACCTCTCAATCACTTGGCACTACTTACAAAGGCACATTTCTTTCTTCTAAATTGTTATGGGGTATAATCTATTGTAGGTGTTGAATTCGTATAAATAATAGTTTTTTGTCTGTCACCCTCTTGGCTCAGTCAGGTGAAGTGTATGTGTGCATGTGTGCATCATCACGCTGATGCCTGCTCTATGAGGATAAATTTGCTTGTTTTCCCTTAAAAGAAGGACTTAGCCTGTTTTATAACATACCTCGGTACTGATACTGTGTAGTCTGGAAAAAAAGTGATGTGCAGCTGTGAAAAGAGCTCTGCGGGCACACAGTGAATGCGGGCAGGCTTGGACCTCCACGCCAAGCCTTGCGTCCCCTCAGTTGAGAGGTCTCTCTTCCTGGCTCTGCATCCAAGAGAGGAGGAGAAGGAGGGGTACAGGTGGGCAGCAGAAGGGTTGGAACAGAGGGATCCCCAGTTCTGTCTCCCTCTTTGAAGGAGGGGATACCTGCTTTTCCGGAACTAGGAACATATTCTTGTGTGATGGGAGTATGAAACTCGGCTACTTTATGGTAACAAGTACTGTCCCGCTTTCAGTACCAAAAGGACTGTGAAGAGGAATTTCCTGAACAGAAGTCACGCAGTCAGATTTTAATTTTGGAAGACGCTGTTATCTTCCTGATGGGCTTGTTACAAGGGAGGAAAAAAGTAAGAGGGTGAATGTACCATCAGACATGCTGGAATGAATATTGGATTGCACTTCAGTGCTGCCTGCTAGTTCCCAAGCTGATCTCTTACATTTTGCATTTCATCAGTTATGCATTTTAAGGTGACAGCCTCAGAAATGTTGTGAGGGAGTCAAATGTGGAGCTAATCCTTTAGAGACTCTTGAGTTACTTGTGAAAGAAGCAGATGTTGCAGATGTCTCTTACTCATCTTTTTTCTGGCCTTTGTTTTTCTTTCCTTTCTTTCCTTTCTTTCCTTTCTTTCCTTTCTTCTTTCCTTTCTTTCCTTTCTTTCCTTTCTTTCCTTTCTTTCCTTTCTTCCCTTTCTTCCCTTTCTTCTCTTTCTTCCCTTTCTTCCCTTTCTTCCCTTTCTTCCCTTTCTTCCCTTTCTTCCCTTTCTTCCCTTTCTTTCCTTTCTTTCCTTTCTTTCTTTTTTTAGTTCTGTGTGTGTCTCTTGCTGACTTTGTGGGGTGGTAAAAGCTTAAGGTTTGGCACCAGCAGGAAGTTGATGTGGCATGAAAAGCAAACACAGTATACTACTCGCATTGTAAGACAAACACTGCTATCAGCTCCTATTTCAGTGCCGTTCAACCTCTGTTCATCTGAATTTCTGCTAGGACCTGTGTGGGAAGTCCCAGGGCCCTATTCCCTGCCGTGGGAGAAGAGTCAGGCCTCCCTGGGCTCATGGTGATGCTCGTGCCAGTCTTCAGAAAAATGTGAGCCCAGCAGCTGGTCACAGCACCAACGGGTTGTCACTGTCTCCTGAAGAACAGGATGAATTGTGTCCATATCCCAGAGAATGGATTGGGTTTAAAAATACGTGGGTTTACTCTACTCCCTCCACCAGTATGTTATTAATTTAATTGCTCTTTAGTTTCTGAAGAATTTTGGAGGGGGCAGGGAGGGGGTGGAAAGATCTATTTTAAACTGTCCTCGTCTTTAATTCATGTCTTGTTCGTGGTAGAGTTTTACCAGCAGCACTTTGTGATCCAGCTGCCACTTCTAAATGTCATTTACTTGAATAAAAAAATGTAATTACATTTTTAAGTGTGATGTAAGCACTGAAAGTAGCAACTGAATCACAAAGTGCTGTTTAAGCAGCAGCTTTCCCATGAAAAGAGGGAAAGTTTGTGAAGTTTGGGGTATGCTGTAATACAAGTGTAGCAAAAATAGTCAAAGCACTTGTTTGCAGGTTTTCCCATCTCCCATTTAGCTTTTTGTTGGGGAAATATCTGCTTATAAATACCCCATATTAAATAAAAACAGATGAACGGTATTTGGTTATCTCATGTTCTCTGACATAGATCTGTGGTTTTGGTTGAAATCAGTAAGCCAGTGCTTCCCAGCACTCCTTGAGAAACAGTTGCTTATGCACCTGTTAACCATGTGCCTTGAAACCAGGGGGTTGTTGGACTCCAATAGTTTTTTTTCAGCGTTAATACCATCAAAAGCTTTCTCAAATGATTGCTTGATTCAGCTTAAAAGGTGCTGAAGACCTCTCATCTTTTTGCCTGTAAAAGGGATAAAGGAAGAAATTTTGCTTTCATGTGTATTTCTGGTACTCCATAAAGCAAAATATGTCATTGTACGATGGAACAGCTCTCACTTTCTATAGCCTCAGTTTGCTCAAAATCAAGAATGACCACACAGTCATTTTCAGTAATGAAAATCTGCTGCATCTTCCTTTTGATACTGTATGTTTAAATTGCTGTTGATGAATTTCAGTTGAATCATCATTGGTTTTTGTACAACAGCATGACAGTGTAAATCCAAAATACCCACCGATCCATGGGCTGAACAACATTTGTAAGCCTTCAGCCCTAGTTAGCAGAAGGTTCAGTTATTTACAGTCTACTGAGGCTTTTTTTTTCAATGCTGATGCCTTTATCGTAAAGAAGAGAGAGAAAAAATTGCAGTGGGTTGATTCTGCCAGGACTGTCGTCTGTCACTGATTCTCAGTTGTTGTTCTGTAGGTAGCAATTTGGGTGAGCAATTACTGAGAATGTGCCCTTTGGTGTCCATCAGCAGTAAGTGTGTGTGTGTGTGTGTGTGTGTGCTGTAAGTGGGAGTGTCCCATTGCTTCCATGAGCTATGCCATTTTCAAACCTTTCAGCTGATGTTTTGCTGTCTGTTACTTGGCATCACTTCCTGCAGCTTCTGATTTTTCGTCTTTTTGGTCGTACGTGACTACGTGTCTTGCTTTATCCTACTCAGCGTGTGCAGGTGTCACCCCTGGTCGTGCCAGGTACGCACACGTTGGCGCAGCCTACGAGTAGAAGCTGACAGAAGACCTGCCTGCCGTCTTGTATGTTCACAGCATGTGGATTTTGAGTAAATGGGAACTAGCACCCCCAAAGCTTTTCCGATTACCTCTTTAAAGTTTATTAACACCTTTTCATTTACAGGTCTTAACCTGCCTTTTGGTCACAGGAGAGATGAGGTCTGGGCCTTGCCTCTGGACAGCTTGCTTATGACATCCTGTAACAAAACTTCAAACAACGTAAAGTTGGAAAAGGCCAAATATCAGCAGTGCTCTGTATAAGTGCAACAGTGCTTGTAGAAATGTATACATGGCTGTTTATCTCGTTGCCACGGCTGGGATTCATACGTAACTCTTCAACAGGGTAGTTGTCTACGGTGCATGGGCTTAACTTGCTTGGAAAACTTAAGCCCCTCTTAAATTTCCTGTTAAAGCCAGGAGGGACAGAAGTTCAGCTGACATAAAACTATGCTGAATGAGTAATTCCTTTTGTAGACTCTCTGGGGGCGGATTGTTTCAGCCTTCTCTGGGGATGCCTTTATAAAAATTTGAGTTCTTTTAAAGTTTTGTACTAAATCAATAAATAAGTTAATAATAGAGCAGCTGTTGATCATAATCTTTGGGACTTTCCTATACTCAGATTTCATCCAGAGGATAAATTTCTCACTTAGAGAAGGCAGATGCTGCCTTTCTCAACTATTCAGTCTCCAGGCCCTCTCTCAATTCTAGGTTTTCTTATCAACAAAAGACAACCAAAACCTTCCCTAACCCTGACTGTAATACCAGGAGAGCAGCACAAACGTGTCCTGGTTTATGTCTGTGAAGAGCGGTGAGAGTGCACCCTCTTTGTGATGATCTCCCGAGCTTTCTACCAAATTCCCAGGAAGAAGCTCTCTTCAGAGTTTGAAATTGACCCTAAACTTACTCAAATTGAGGCAGGAACATGCTTTTAACTCCCCGGGCAGTTGTATGATGCTTAGTCAACTAATACTGCCTTATGTGGCCCATTTCTAGACTACAACTCCCAGGAACCCCTGGTGTTAAAATCTTGACTTAGTGACAAAGTAATGATGGTAGAGGTCTCTGGATCAGCACATCCTAAAGGAAAAAAACAAACAAACAAAAAAAAACCAACCAACCAAACAAACAAACAAAATAAAACAAACGAAAACCCACAACTTTTTTTTGGTTATTGAACAGTTGCTTTGACATGAGTCTTCCTGTGACTCCATGTATCTAGCCTTCACTGTGTGGAGGAAATCTTGGTAATGTGAACCACCTGCACTCACAACCCTAGAAACTTGAAACAGTATATAAAGTGTATATACATTAAGTATATAAACATATACTCATCTTTAACATGCCGTGTTTTGTGTTGCATCTGGCGTGGTATTGGTCCTTGGATGATTTTTCTTTTTGTAAGAAAACAAATAGAAACAAGTATTGCAAAACAGTGACAACAGTTTTTCCTCTCTCTTTTTATCCCTATTTTAGGAAGGCATGAGGTCCAGTCCTGGACAACAGCCACCAAGCAATCCTTGTGTCTCATGTGGCAAAAAGTGAAAGTGCAGCTAATGCTAAGCATGTCTTTCCTCGTTGCTGTTTTTTGGTATTGCAGAAGGCTATACAGCTTTTTAGCACAGCTACTGAAACGGTAGGTCTTTATTATGCAGACTTTAATCTTCCACGGTGTTGCTTATTTTAGTAAATATTGACCTTTGGCAACTCCCCTTTGACGCCTGTTTTGTCATTTGTATTTCAGGTGGAGCAACTGCCTTCAAAGAAAACTCATAAGTAATCTTTTCGTTGCCATTCTGTATTCCTTAATACCCACCACCACTGCTACCCTTTAGATGCAGAGCAGCAGAAGAGAACTAACTTGTGAATTAATCTCGATTTAGGGAATCTCAGTGTGCTGACTGAAGTTGATCTCCTTGGTTACAGTGCGAGAGAATGGAAAGGAGAAACAAAGCAGGCCAAACACATGAGGGAGGTAAGAGTTAAATTTTAATCTCTGCATGAGCATGGGGGAGAAGAAATACCTGGGAAAGGAATAGCACTGCCGCAGCTACCAGAGCCTGCTACACCGGCTGTCCAAATGAAGAGCAAAAGGGACAGCGTGAACATGGGTCTAAATAAAGACTAGAGCAGAGCGGGTTAAAATGTAGATCAGGTTTTAGTCTTGCGTCTTCTCTGAATTCCCGCCCCATAGCATCAACGACCCGCGCAGCGGCTTTTAACGGGAAAAATCATCCCCAGTGCTACAGCCTGAACAACGTGGTCGTAGGTGCTGTCTCAGCATTTCATGGACAGTGTTCCCAACATCATCAGATAATCAGAAATATGGACCTGATGCTACCTTTGTCCCGTGCCGGTCTGAAATGCCACACCGTGAGGACATGAGCATATAATGTCACAGTTAGGCCAACCTAACCAAAGGTTGGCCGGGCCAACCTTTGATTTAAGGTAAAAACTCTCATTCCAGGGAGGAATGAAACAGCACACCCGTTTCTCTTCCAAGCCCCGAGGGCCCATGTGGCCGCCACCGGTGCTTGGCAGCCGCCGAGGCCTGTCCGTCTGTCCGCCCGCCTCGGCCGCGGCCGGGGGGGGCCGGCAGGGCAGCAGCTCACGTCTGACCCGGGCCGGGTTAGGAGGGGGCTCAGCGGGCGAGGAGATGGCGTGCTGGGGGGTGGTCATCCCCCCCGCCCTCCCGCCGCGGCCGGCGGCACCGCCAGCGCCTGGCCCGCGCACGTCCGCGCCGCCATCTTCCCCTGCGCCAGGCCCTGCCGGCGGGACGCGCCGTGCCCGGCGGCTCCTGCCGCCTCCTCCCGCGCCCGGGTCGGGCTCACGAGCTCCTGACCTCGCCCTTAATGTCCTCGTCCTCCTCAGGAACCCCACGCAGCTGCTGAGGGGTGGCTGGAGACAGCCCTGGACTGCCTGGGGAGGTGGCAGCCCCCTGCTTGTGGGCATCAGATAATCCTCAGTGATGCTCTTTTCCAAGTTTTTTGAGTTTGTTTTGTTTTGTTTTGTTGTTGCTGTTCTATGGTTTTTATTCCTTTCCACATAAAGGTTTTTTTGTGGGTTTGGGGATTTTTTTCTCTTATTTTTCTTTTTTTTTTTTTTTTTTTTTTTTTCCATCTCGTACCTTAGAGTAGCTAGCTGTGACCATCTTAATAATCATATTTCTCCCTGGATTTTTATTTCTCTTACCTGGCATCCTTTCACCTGAAATAATTTCTCACGGCTTAGTACATTTTCTTCATAACCGTAAGTCAAGGTGACAGATTTGTGCTGCACCCAACTGGGCTTTGGATCAGCTGGACTCCTGAGCTGAGGACCTCCTAAATTCATGGTTCACTACTGCTAGAATACACTGTGTTCCGTCAACTCACTGACACGTTTTTCAGTTGTGTGCATGGTGTGTACATGCTTACACCTGTTAGGCAGAAATGGCAGCTGCTCTTCCCACAAAAGATGTATGTTCTTGCCGTGGGCTGTTGGCAGCTATATCTTGGTGGCCATCAATGGAGGCAGCATGGTAGAGGCAGTGGTTGAAGTTGGAGTAGCACTACGGTATCCTAACCTGTGACAGGGACAGCCCTCCAGGAGCAACACGTGTTTTATGGCACTCTGTTTCAACTCTGTTAAGCCTTAGTCACCAAGGTAGGCTCCAAGACAGCGTGCTGGATATTTACTTTTCCCATAAAGCTTCTAGATAAAGTAGCTATACCGATGGTAGATTCGTAGTATCTGTTAAAGCAAGCTTCAACTCAGATGCAGTCAGTCAGCTAACTGTGACATTATATGCTCATGTCCTCACGGTGTGGCATTTCAGACCGGCACGGGACAAAGGTAGCATCAGGTCCATATTTCTGATTATCTGATGATGTTGGGAACACTGTCCATGATATGCTGAGAGACCAAAAAGGCAGAGGGGGAAGGAGATGCAATAGTAATGAGAGACACCAACTAGCCATCTGCACTGGCAATAGCTGTGGGGTTGAAATTCAACGTAGTGCCAATGACTGTTTCATGGATCAGCTTTTCAGGGATCCTGTGGGAAAGGAAGCCTTGGTCCCAAGTACTGTACAGGATCTGCCTCAAAATGTTGCTTTCTAATTTCTGTTGTTGCTCTCTGGGACAGGAGACTGCACATACTTGTATTCAGCATCCTTGCAAGAACAACAAAGCAAAAAAAAAATTATTAAAATTGCGTTTACCTTCAGAAAGGGAAACTACATAAAAACAAGGAAGTGTGTTAAAAAGAAGCTAAAAGACTGCCATGAGACTTGAGTATTTATGGTCAGTGTATGTGACATATATATAGATTTAGGTCATGGTATTGGAATCACAGAACAAATGCATACCAAGAAGGACTTAAAAAAGAGTGAAAGGAAGCTGATAAGGCTAAACAGCAGCATAAGGGAGTTATGAAAAAAAAAAAAAAAAAAAAAAAGAAGATATTTTTCAAAAAGCTGGAGTTATGTCCAAATGATGAACAGAGAAAGGATATGACTTTGCCGCATTAAATGCAGGAACACAGCAATGCCAGAAGTGCCCAGAACAGACAACATGGCCAAAACTGATTTGGAGGAATGGGTAACAAAAGATAGCAAAACTTCTGATAAATTTGCAAACACATACAAGCCTTTCAGAAAATCCGTTGGCCTTCTAAATGATCAGAGCTGAAAAGGAGACTCCTTTATATAGAGCAGCCAGTGGATGGCTGGTTATATCAGGTAGAAGTTATCACATTAAGGAGCACATTTTAGAATGTCTCATAAGATCCTGAACCAGTCTAACCTGCTTGCTGTCCCCAGAAGGAACACTCCCTTGCTTGTCCTTTCTTTCCCTCTTTCTCCCCTAATTCTAGTTAAGCAGTCCCTCTCCCTCTTTTGTGCTGGCTCTTAATGTCTTGTGTTGAATGTGGTTTACCGAGATGGTGAGCTGATAGAGCAGGTCATCCTGAAGGAACCTTCTCTGAGCCACCTGAGCTTGCTGAAACAGCAGGAATCTTTCCCAGCAGGATCGATTCAGTAGGCTAACTGTCACAACCAATACAAAGAGTAGGGGAGGCTGTGCAGCTGAGAAGTGTGTTGGGATGGGGTAAGGAAGCAACAGAGGTGGAAGAAGACCAGGAGTTGAGACCATCTTCCTGCCCCCTTCATGAAGCAAACTGTAAGTCTGATGCAGCAGCCTGTGGAACTCTAGAGTCCTCTTTCCAATTCTCTGACAGTTTATTGCTCTGAATTTTCTCAACAAGGGCTCAGATGAGAGCCAGAGGTAATGCAGAGGAAATACAGGGAGTGTATAGCCGGAAGAAGGGCCATCCACATCAGCCCAGAGCTGCCAGATCTGCTAAGCCCCAGGTCACCGTTGCATGATGGATTCAGGTCAGTGCAAGGAGATGTTTTTGCCAAAAGGAGTTTTCTCCACATGCCGGTTCCTGCCATTTTGCTGCTCCATCCCATGCGTCAGCACAAGTTGTGAAGTGGTCAAGATTAAAGCTATTATGGCAAAGAAGTCTTCACTGACCTGCTCTGATTTGGTTGACCATGTGAATGTTTACGCTAGAAACAGTGCAGAGACAGCAGCTGAGTCACTGGGTTTGGAGAGAGTGCAGAATCACTCTTGAGGAGCAGTGCCAGTTTAAGGTGTTTACAAAACCCATGGTATTGGAACATTTTTGTGTATTTAAAACTTAAAAATACACTCTCTCATTCCCCTAGCTCCCTCTTATGAGCAGTTTGGAATTGGACTCGAATCAACATGGGTTTAGTCCAAGATTTAAAATTTTTATTGCTAAATTTTTTTTTGGTCTCTTTCTAGGCGTATGAAGAATTGTTTTGGAGCTGTCATATCAAGTACCTGCGACAAGTCAGGAGGGACAACTATTGTGTACTAAGAGCAGTGCTTTTTCAGATATTCAGCCAAGGCATTCCTTTTCCATCATGGATGAAGGAGAGGGATATAGTGAAGGTAAAATGAATTTCCTAAATGTGCATGATTCAGGTAACCTTGCACTGCAGAAGGAGGCTTTGTTCAAGTCAAAACTGATGTGTCTGCTATGGAAGTAGACAATCATCATCAGAATTTAAAGAGAAGTCTTTCATACTCTTTGAACTACTCTTAATTGAAAATTTGTCCCTGATCTAAACTTACCATTGTGAACATGAGTTTAAATGGTAAAAAAAAAAAACGGTGGATGGATAGATGTTACTGTCGCCCTGCTAGAGGTCAGTCTCTTAACACAAAAGGATATCTGAATCTTCCTCATCCACATCCATTCAAAGTCCAGTGGCTCGCTTGGGAGCTGGTGAGCACGTTGCTGGAAGAACAGGAATCCTGCCCTGGGCTCCAGGAGCTCGGCCGGGAGACAGTAGCAAGGAGTTGGGGAGCTATAGCTGCTGCCTGTGGGGGCACGTGTGCAAACGGGAAGGTGTCTGTAATCCTAAATTCCTCACTGAATGAGGATGTATCCAGCTTTTCACGATGTGGGTTATATATTTTGCTGAGAGCATATTTTCTTATTTTTTTGGCTGGTCCTGTTTGAAAAGTTTCTTAAGAACTTGGCAGCCACATGGAGCCTTCTTCTTAACATTTGAGTTGTTCTGAGGCCCTTTTTTTTGTTGTTGTTCGAATTGTACAACCAGAGGATAGAATCCCATCATAAATCAAAACGTTTGTAGACAAGTTTATATAACTTTATATTCTACTTCTTGTTATGGTTATGATTAGCCTTTTTTTCTTTCCCCCCCTAGCTCCCTGAAAAGCTTTTGTATTCTCAAGGTTGCAACTGGATCCAGCAATACAGTTTTGGGCCAGAAAGATACACAGGTCCCAATGCCTTTGGTAAATTGCGCAAGTGTATGGAGACATTAAAAACAAATGTGAGTATTTAGGAAACGGCTGGGAGGAATAAAAGCACTGAGAAATGGGTTGAGACAGGATTAGGGAACTGCTCCTGGTTACGTATTTCTGTGGCAGTGAGCCTCCCTCCCAGGTTCAGAGAGCTGAGCTGCTGGGAAGGCCATTACCTCTCCTGCAAGGGAATCCAGCTTTTGCGGATCCACTACTCTAAGTACTTGGGGTTCCCCTGCACGTCAGGGAGGTCATCCTCCCCACAGTTTTTACTATGTGGCTAGTTGCCCTTGCCATCAAGTGGGTTCTGCAGTATCTCATCATTTGGATTAAAAATAACACCATGCTGTGTAAGATTCTCCTGGATTCCCTCCCCAGATGGGAGGGAACAAACAAACAGTGCATTTTCTTCTCAAATTACTGTCTTTCCCTTGCTCCCATCTCCATGAAATGTTTTATTTATACACTTTAACTTCTCTCTGTAGGCCAAAGCGCTTGATTACAAAGACCTGTCAGCCTCACTGCCCTCTCTGCTCATCATAGTCAGATTGCCTGCATTCCCAACCATGAGTATAACTCTGATTTACATATTTAAAGCGTAGGGAGTCGTAGTAGCCCCAAAGCTTTCTGAAACCCTTTCCCCCACATCTTCCTCCTGCCCAGCCGCTGGTTTGTGTGCTCTCCTGGGTCACAGCCATCACGTGGATACTGGTGTTTGCTGAAGTCCAACATTTTGGCCAGTTAGGTTGAAATGCTTCTCTGAAGGCATCCGTAACCCAGTGTATCAGACATTAAACTGTCATTTTTAATTCTGCAGTGCACCATGGTTCTGGGTTGTCTTACCATAGCCACTACAGCTTGTTTTACTGGCTGACATTTAAGCTAGTTCCTTTTATGCCACCCTGTGTATACAAGCCACAACTCTGTCGTTTTAAATGCTATTATCAGTGATAGTAATTGTTACTTAAAGCAAAACAGCAAACCACAAATAGACTGATTTAGCTCTGGAAACAAACTACGAGTAATAAGAAGAGGGAATTAAAATAGAGATCTGGTCTTTGTCACTTCCCTGCACCCATGCTGTGCCACAGTGACAACTGCCTGTCTTCTTGACACATGCCTGGTGGTTCTTGTGTGCAGTTATCATTTTGTTCCGGTCACTCTTTGCATTTGCCAGTGTTGGGTTGTTTAGCTTTTACTTTTAATTTCTTTTAGTTCTTTTAAATTGATGTTAGTGCCTTAGTACAAAGCATTTAAACTGGATGTTTGTACAGGAAAAAATGTTTCAAGTCAGCACGGTGAACAAACCCATAACAAATTGTTGCAGAGCAGCTGTATGATGCATTATACTGTTACTGGGCATAAGGCCGGTCTCCCAACTTAATTTTATTTTTATAACAATGCTGTTTGGCCAGTGAGATGTATTTTTGCCTGTTTTCACTAACAGGGTTCTCTGCTGGCCTTTCCCAGCTCCATCATCATCTTGTGGACTGCTGCCTGCAGGTGCTGTTGTGCCTGGGCTGTGTTGCTTAATAGGCTCTTTACACTTAGGACAGGCTTTTCACTTAGGTAGTAGGGGCCCTCTAGCAAAGGGACATTAGTGGTTCATCCACTTGGTCTCATTTTTAACCTGTAAGGAAAGTCTTCAGGAATGCCTGAGGAGATGGTGGGATCTGTTTCTTCATGGTTAAGTTGGATTTATTGTATTTTTAGTTGAAATTCACAGTTTATGGCCACTTCAACATATAAATGATGCAAGCACAGAATTAACTGAAATTCATTTGAATCCCAGTCACTGGGATTCATCATCTCTTACTGTGGTCCCAAAAAACCTCAGTTCCAGATGACTCTTTTTAGCCACTGTGTTCAGGACTGAGTGCTTTCTAATTTCCTACCCAGTCCAACTTTGTCTCCTGGACAGCCCACTTTCTGGGTGTGAGCACTGGCTTTTGACCCCCCTAGGGCAAGAGAGAGCTCAGGAGCTCTTGTTATCATCTGTGAGAAGAACGAGAAATTCCTACCCCGTTCATGTCCCATGCAGGTCTTTGTCTCATCCCTTCTTGTGCGACCAACTTACCTTGACCACATGAAGCAGAACACACTAAAGACATACAGATGTGTACAGTTCATAATACCATTCTGGCTCGTCCACACACTTCTGAATTGGGCTCAGCATCTAAAGAATTCAAGCTAGGACAACTTTATGTAAAGGGTACTATAGAGGAGGATCACTGAACTTCGGAAGCTGGAGTCATCACTTAATCTAAACTGTGTTTATGGCTTAGTGTGTATGTCTGATGCACCCATACAGGTTTCCTCTAACTTTCTGAGGTCTTTTTTGTGGTTACGCTTCTTTCAGGCTCTTTGCTGACAGTGATACTTGGATTTTCTACAGTGGTGGTGGGTGGCTTTTATATAGGGGAATTACATTTGCTTCCTCATAGGCTATCATTAGCATCCAGATGCTTGGAGCTGTCTGTAGCAAATAGGTTCAGCTGGATAAATGGAAACTGAAATGTGTAAGGCTTCAAATTTCACTGCAGATCTGAAAGAGCCACCTGCTTATTTGCACCACCATTTGGCCACAATAATGGTATATCACAGGCTGGCAATTGTTTCTCATTTGGAATCTTTCATATTAAATAGAATTCTTAATGATTTGATTAATATTCTTCTGTGTGCTTTCCAGTGGACTGAAATAAGTGCTACTAAAGATCATGAAGAAAGAGGATACATGTGTAATACACTCTTTTCTGATGAGAGCAAGGAGCACAAACTCTATGAGGCTATAAAATTCATCATGCTCTACGAAGTTGTTGAAGCCTATGAGCAGATAAAGAACAGGGAAGAACCCCCACACAACCTTTTTAGCCTTCTCCTTGCTCGTGATTCTTCGTCCGACCCTTTGAGTTTCATGATGAATCATCTGAACTCCATAGGTGACTCTATTTGCCTAGACCAGGTAATGATATAAATGAAAAACAAATCACAAAATTTACTCCATCTCTGACGTGATTAGGTGAATAGATCAGAAATCATCTGTGGAAGTTCGCCCATTTTTATTCTTTGGGATGTGGAGAAGTGGGCTGAGGATAGTCATTTATCTTCAGGAAAAAACCTGTAGGAGAGTAAAAGGGCGTGGACAGTTTTCTCACTGGGCCAGAAATAAAGTCCTGCTGCAAACTATCAGTGAGACATAGACAAAGAGACAACAATACCTTCGATATGTAAAATAATTATAGATTATGCAGGTTTGACCTGTTGTTTTGGTTTTCCTATCTGTTCCACCATGCCAAACCCCTTATCACCACTCTACTTTTTTCCCCTTTCTTTGGTTCCCATTAAATCTCATGTCTGTTAAGAGTAGCCAATGAGAACTCTATTAACTGTTCACCTTTATATGTTAAGATAATTTTTTTCAATTTTATATTTAGTGAGGACTGTCACTCTGCAAATAGTTTCACTTTCCAATGGATGAAATTTTTATAAACAGTTTCAGTTATCAAGTCAACTGTTAAATGTTGCAGTCACCTTCAGCAGCAGTTCGACGATAACTGGACAAGTTCTGCTCTGTCTGGCTTTGCCCAAGGATATGAGCCTTTCCCAAAGCATTTTTCCAGATTAAGCAATCATTTGCAAGAAGTGTCAGTCTCAGATTCCCGTTCTCAAGTTTCATATACATGAAGTACAAGGAAATTTATTCCTTTTATATTTCCCTCATGTAGCAAGTGATCACAAGGTGGCAGGCTTCCCATTTTTCAAGGTGTATCAATCTTTTAATAATAGCTAGTCCCTTCTTGCTCCCCACTAAGCTGTGTGAGCTGGCTTTGGGAGCAGGTTAAGTATTGCATTAGGTGGAAGAGGGTTTTTTCCAAAGTGTCAGGCATTAACCAGAATGTCCTCTACGTGCAAAAGAGCGGTGAAAGGACTGTTGGAACATTGAGAATACCCTCAAAATTTTTGTTTTCTTACTCCACTTACAAAAGGGCCCCTTTTATTCCTTGTCTACTGTTTGGAAGCTTGGTGACTTGCCTTAACTTGGATTATCTTCAGTTTAATTTTCTAAGTCTAGAAATAAATGTCTTACAGACTTCTTTCATTTTCAGGTTGAACTGTTTCTTCTTGGATACTTACTTGAAGTAAAGATAAGGGTTTACAGACTGCATAGGTTTAATACTGAGGAATTTCAAGTAAACTATCCAGAAGAATACCGAAGGGAATGGAATGAGATTTCTCTCCTGACTGAGGACGACCGCTACTATCACATTCCCCTTTTCAGAACGTGAAGGACCAGTGACTTTTTTTCCTTTGTATAATATAGTGAGTGACCAGTTCCAGTGAATTAGGTCTCTAATCAGCAAGAGGAAGATTTTGAAAATGCTTGTTAATAATTACAAAATGATTCATGGGTTTATTGTGTAAACATTTTGCTTTCCCGTTGCAGCTTAATTCACGATCAGTCAGCCATAAAAAACATGAAATATATTGCTAGACTGTCTGGGGGGAAAAATGTCATATTTGAGGGCTGTCAGACAAAAAAGATTGGACTGCATGACAAAGGAGGCAAAAGTAATGCTGCGTTTTTCATTGCTACCCTAAGGGTTTACTCTGACATCTCTGGATGGGTTAAACTCAAGTTCCTAAAGCAATTGCTGCCTTTCTGTCATCTGTCTCTAGCTAGGAAGGATGAATCACAGGGGAAGCAACTCCTGGGGTCCCGCAGTTTATATTCCAGGCTATTAAACTTGCATTGACTTGGGGCTGCCTAGGAAGGGAGGATGCAAACTGGGGCCTCTGCGGAGCTGCTTCAAACCCCATCTGGCTTCCCCTGTTGCTGGAACACCTCCCTCCAGCGATGGGCAGAGCAGGCAGCTGCAGGCTGGGCTTACTTCAGACACATGAAATTAAGATGTCTGCACTCAGCGCTGAAGGTGGAGAAGTGTTACACGGGGGAAAAAACCCCCCCCACACAGACACAAGAATACTGTGCCAGATGAACAGATCTGCTTTGTAACTGAGGAAAGTACGTAAGCTTTCTCAAAGCTAAAAAGGGCAGTATTAATTAATAATAACATGCAATAGAGTTAGACTCAGTAGCTGCCTATGGTTTCTGTCAACTTGTGAATCCTTTAGGGGCTGATTTCAACATTACCTGCCAAGATTTCCGTTGCGTTTCATCTGAGAAGGCTGTGCACAGAATACATTCACAAACACTGCATTTTCAGAAAATACAAATTTTCTATGCATTATGTGGGTTCAGCAGTGTGTATACATGTTTTATCCTCTGTGTATATATTAATCTCATTGCATAAGATTGCTGTCTTTAGTTTAGAACTCAATGTTTCAAGAGGTCTGTCTGGAACAACTAAATGAGATGTACCTTACTACGAGGAACATTTTACCCAGTTCTTGTTTTCTAAAAGAATCAATTGTGTTTTGATTATTACAAAAATAAGGGACCTTGATTAGAAGAAATATTAAAATGATATAGCAGATCTAGCAAAGTATTTGTGAGAAGCATATAATCCCATTGGCATACAGTTGTACTGAAGAAAGCGAGATTTATTAAGAAACAAAGCCTCTCCTTTCCTTATCCTAGAGATACGGGAACAGGCAGGTTTTTTAAATCCTGCAGGAGAAAATACAAGCCAATAACAAAAATGTAAACAGAGCCTGCAGGAGCTAAAGCAGTTGCATGAGGTAACTAAATGGTAATGCTTGGTTACTTTGTGTAAAGGAAAGCAAAAAAAGGAAACCCTTACAGTCCTTATTTTTATGTATATGTATATATATTTATAAACACAAACACCTGAGTTCTGAATTGTAACAGTTTTGTTTCCTGAAAGTTTTTGAGTTTTGTTCAATTATTTGTAGCTTTTAATTAAGAAGGCTTGATACCTATAATAATTTAATCTCATCAAAACCTGCATATCAAATACTTTATTTATTAAAAGAAACTTTTTTTCACTGAATGAAATAATTTGCCTACTTAAGATTTGGTTCTCCTCTGCATGGGGGAGTGTTATAATGCCTGAGAGTAGGGTATTGCTGTCTGTTTTGCATCAACAGTAGCATTTGCAGCTATCAATAAACTTGTCTATATTTTATTCTTTTGGTACAAGCAGACATACCAAAAAAAAAAAAAAAGTATTTTTATAGTGGGCTTTTTAATGGTTTGCACGTTACTTATGATTAGGAATACAAAAGCATTACAGCTGAGAGTGTTAAATTGTCAAAGTGTATGTTTTTGTAATCTCAAACCTATTAATAGCAGGGGGTTAATGAAGATCTGACACAGACAGTGGAATTTATCTCACCAATCTGGATGTTTGCCTCTGAACTAGGTCATCTTGGGCTCTTTGCCTGGTCAGCGGACGGCAACGGCACGCAGTCACTCAGCGGAGTGGGGCTCTACAAGGGTCTGGTTCTCCTCACTGACTGTAGTGGGAGCTGGCAGTCATCGGCACAAATCTCTCTGCTCTAGACGTTTGAAGTTAGGTGAGCTTCATTTTATCCCAAGAATACAGAAAGGATATGTCGAAACAGATCTGCCGGCTTCTCAGATGTCAGCGGTGCTAGCCAAAGCACGACAGGAACCAGAAACGGGATGTGAAGCAAGAAAAACTTCAGGTGAGGATAATCACAAGCCTTAGAGAGAAATGCAGAGAGTGCTCTACGCAGGATCTTAAGAAACACTGAGACAGATTTTGGGCTGCACTGAGTTTTAAACAGGTTCTTGGATAATATATTTTACATGTATGAAGAAAAAAATGTTTTTAACATATAAAGAAATATATGCATATACATATACATGTGTGTGTATATATATATATAAAAGAATAATACATAAAAAAGAAAGTAATCCTGAATAAAGTGCATCTGGAACTAAGTGGTACTATGGAAGTGACAGGTGCTGCAGCAACCACTGGCACAGACAAGCTTGCTGTACAAATTCAGAAGCCCACTGTCATTATCAATTTTTTTTAAAACACAGTGTTGTAGGCAGCTAAAGTTTCAAGTCAAGATGTGTTCATTATATTGCTGCTAGTTTAGCAAGAAAAAGAAAATATACTGAAACCTCAGCAGTGGGTTTGGATTTTTCCCCAAACTTGAAAATGTGTGTTAGGAATGTAGCAGAGCAGCTGAAGAAACTTAAATCTTTTAGTATAATGGAGAAAAAATATGTTTGTTTTGAATGTCATCTATTTTCAAAATTGCATCTCGAAAAACGTACAAACCACGAACTATCCATATTTCAACTCCAAAAAAAAAAAAAACCACCAGCAATCCCAATTCTTCAATTCTAATACTGAAATTGCTTCTTGTCTAGGTTGTGGCTGTTAAGTTGAAGCAAATTAAAAGTCATCCAGTGTGCTTGGTTGTTGCCAGTCAGTCTACCTGCTTAGTCTCAGGGTATTGAGTTTAACGTCTAAGAAATAGTTTTCAAGTGCAGTTTGCCTAAAGCATAGATACAAGGAACAAATATGATTTCAAATTAGCTTAGTTGTCTAGAAAAATACATACATGTGTTCTTTCCAAAACACAGGAAAGACCTACATCGTTTTTGTTGCCAGTAGCTGCTTTTCCCTGTCCCTCTATATTTTAGCACTACTACAGCAGTCCAACCCGTCACCCTGTTACGTTAGCGCCATTACAGTATTAATGGTTTTTTGAGTTTTCATTTTCCTGAAAAGCTCCTGATTCTGAAGAAGAGGTAGAGTTGGGATTTTGGTGCCACAAAAGCCCTTGTCCTTCCCTCTTGGCTTGGGAAGGTTTTGGGGTGCTTGAAGGCCTCTCTGGAAGGAGAGAAACTTTCACGTGGGGCCTGGTTTTACAAGAGGGCAGCAGTTGAGTCTTTGAGGATCCCCTGAAATCATTTGGGAGAGGAGCCTGGCCTGGCAGCTGGGCTGGACGGGTGTTGCTGCCTCACTTGATGGCAATCGTTCCTGTTCACATCATCCTGCATGGTGTTAGCCCAACCCTGATCTTGGCCAGGGATGGAGCTGGAAGCCTTGCAGAGCCTTTTTTAGAGATCTGACAGAAAATTTCCGCAGAAACCCACGTGCCCCAGAGACAGGAGGTGAGGTACCTAGTGGGGATGAGAAAGAAATGTAGAAAACTTGCCTCCCTGGGTCTTGGCTGGTCTGCACCTCTCCGTGAACCACAGAGCTTTGTGTTAGCCAGGACTGGGCAGCGAGGAGGATGGCTGGGGCATGGCTGGGACCTGTGGTATGGGGGCACGCATGCTGGCCAGTGCTGGTGGGAGGGAAAAACGGAAAACGTGAAAAAAATAAAGGGAGTCCTGGACGCTTGAATCTTCCAGAATACCCCAATTTTCCATAATTCAAAGATTAGTGCCTTGGAAGGGCATTTAACCAAAACATCTTCCTCTTTAGTGGAGCGTTTGGCCATAGACCAACTCTTCATTGAGATGTGGAGGCAGCCAGTTTGAAGGCACTTGTGCAAGTTTGTGTGCAGCAGCTGCTGAAATCTATAGCACATAGAGCAGCCAGTACCCTCCTGTGTCCTGTAAGCCAAGTTCTCATGTTCAGCTGAATGTTTTCCCCATGGTAGTAATTTTCAGGGTTGTGATACACTGCATCTCGCAAATGTTGAAAAAGAACAGCGTTTGAGTTTCAGGTGACGCGTTTAACATTTAGCTATGAAGGATTTTGTCTTCTTTTTACCCATCCAGTAGATGGCTTCCAAGCATCAGAAAATGTAGTTCAGTAAGCTCAGTTCTCCTGGCAATTCTTTGGTTGTCACACTTGCCCAGATGATAGTGGTGGGTTGGCCCCTGCCAACAGCCAAGCACCCACAGAGCTGCTCGCTCACTCCCCCCCACTCCAGTGGGGTGGGGGTGAAAACGGGAAGAACAGGAGTGAGAAAGCTTTTAGGCCAAGATAAAGCCAGGGAAATCACTTACCACACACTGCCACGGGCAAAACAGCCTCACCTTGGAGAATTTAACTTAATTTGATGCCAATTAGCATAAATATTTCACTACCGATTTGGGTATTGGGAAACAAAAAAAAAAAAAGGCAAATGTTAAAACACTTAGGGCAAAACCACCCCTCTTTCTTTCCCAGGCTCAGCTTCACTCCAGACTCCTCTCCTCCCCGCTGTTACCACCACAGGTCACACTCGGTCCCTTCAGTGAGGCACTGAGCAGTGCAGGGGGTGGTTGCAGTCAGGATGTTGTGATTTCTCTCTGCCCCTCCTCGTTTCTCACTCCTTTCCCATGCTTCAGTCTCCCCCTTCAAGGGTGTACCTGCTACAATGTTGGCTTGGGATAACTAAGTTCTAAACCCCTTGGTAAGTTACATGTTAAATACCAGTTTTAGAAAAGTCTATTTGGCTTAATATAGCTTTTATCCGTGATACTGGAAGGAGAAAAAAAAAAAAAAAAAGAAAAGGAAAAAGGAAGTCTATGTTTTTGTTGTCTTGCTTCTTCGATGTCCTAGCACATGCACCTGTATTTCTACAGCACATGGATTATAACAGAGCAAAAGGAGGAAGGGACTAAGAAAGTAAGTGTTGAAAATCAATCCTGCACGTGAAAAACACTATTAAGTTTCCTTAATAACATCTTTAGGACTAGGGTAGTGCTGAGGAGGAACAGTGTTTTCTTGAGTTCCTGTGGACTGTAACATAAGATAATGAGTGTTAGAAAAGAAATAGAGTGATTCTGGACCCAACACAGGAGATACATGGGAGTCAAGTGGTGACCTAACGGTGAAGAAAAGCCAGCTTGGTAGCAGTGTGAGGACAAAGGTATGGAAGAGACAAGGCTAGAAGTGAGCAAGTTCATGGACACGTTCTAACAGTGTGTGAACTGGCAGTGTATGACCAGAGATGAGAAAATTTTTCAGTGTAATACCCACAGAAGGTGTACTTGCAGCTCTTCTTGTTCTGCTGCCTAAAACGCGACACATGAATAGATCATGCCTACCATAATTTAAGGTTCGCTCAGCCACCCTTTCGAAGTAGAGGACATCACTGTTGTGAGTGTTCTCCGTAAGTGTAGAGGTGTTTCTTGCCTTTCCTGTATCGAGGACTTCACTTAAGGCTTCCTCTTGTTTGTGAGCCGTGTCCCCATATTTGGCTGGCATTTACAGCCCTTCTGGTGCTGCAGCAGCAAGGATGAAACAGCCAAGAAACACTTCAGCCACCTTCTGTTAAAGCTTTGAATGAGACATGAGTGAAACCACACGTTCTTTTTTTAAAAGGCTGTGAAAAGCCCATCTAATCAGAAAGTGCAGCCAATCAAAGTGGGCCACGTATCTGTCTTCAGGGTCACCAAAGGTACATTCAGAGAGATGTTGCTGAACTCCCTCATTAGCCTTCTCAGATCAGCTTTGAGCATGGGAGCTTAGGAATCATCAGTGATGGACAAATGGACCACACTGTGTTATCTAAGTAAGGAGAAAAGTGGGAGTCAAACTTCAGACCCTAAGTGTACTCAAGAAGTTGAATCTCAGAGGTGCCATTGCATCTGGTGTGAGCATAACTCCAGAAAACTCCAGATACAGATACGTGGAACTGAGACATAGAGTTTGCACTAAAGTCATCTTGACACATGAAAACTGTGCAGTGACCGCCATGGGATGCTCTACCTGGTTTAGTAGCACAAGACATCCATGGGTTTTGGACAAAGTTCATGTTGGTTGTTTTTTTTAAAAGAACCCATGCAAACTGAGCAAGGTTTTGGTTCTGTTCTTGGCAGCTCCAGAAGTGATTCTATATAGCATTGCTCTTTGAAATGCTTAAAGGCACAAAAAAAAAAAAAAAAAAAAAAAAGTGACAGTTCAAACGGGAGAAATATTATTACAGAGGTATTTGAAAAATGGATCAAAGACATTTTTTCAGACTGTAAGAGTGGCTTAATTAAAGGACTTCACAGCAGCACTACTCAGAAAAACTGGTTGTAATGTTTGGTCCACCAAGCGTAATTCATCTAGGGATACAGAATACTTCACAGAATAAATATGAGACACTTAGGAAACAAATTAGAGCTCTTTGAGTTATAGCTGCTGGTAGCCCAGTTATTTAGAAATGCAAGAAGGAGAGCTGAAGGAACTGGATTTTAATAAATAGAGAACACCAC